CCTGCTGGCCCCTCCTGTGCTGCTGCCTCTGTCCACAGCAGGCCTGAGCCCACCATGGAAAGAGGCTGCACCGTGAATACCAGCACAGCCTCTGACCGTGGGGAACTCCGGTTTCTCATGGACAGGGGCTGCTGTTACCTTTGATACCAAGTCAGCAGTGTGGACTGGCAGGGGGCTACCCAGGAGTGGGGCCAGGAATGCACTGGCTGCCAGCCCCTCTCCTGGGGATTATCGAATAATCATGTAACCCTAAGATTTGATGCAGTAACATAATTATTAAATTAATCGATACCTAATATCCCTACTCATGTCTCAAATCTTTCACCAGTTGGCAGTTCTTAGGGGCAAATTGAGTGCAATGCATTTGCAGCTCCTAATTGAGAAGCAGTAGGAGAGAAATTCAGCCAGAAGAAGAGGGAGAGGGAAAAGGGGTCACTGGGTACAGGTTGATGTGGAGGATCAATCAAAATGTGGAGGGTGTTTTATCTTGAGAACTTCTCAAGCTTTTTGCTCTTTAAAATTGAGCAAAAGGAAATAAAATATCTAATGGGGCTGGGAGAAGAAAGATGAGGGAGGGAAGGAGGAGCAGGGTGAGATGGACCCATGATCACTCCTTCCCTGCTGAGTTTTGGGACTGGGCTCTGACAGAAGTAGATTTAAATAGAAGTGGTTAGGAGCCCTTCTTCCCCTATCAAGTTCTGTGCTTTTACAGCTACAATCAAGCACTATATCTGGTAATAATTACAAAGCACTTTGTTATTTTAAAACAAGATTTCCAATATCACTGCAAACTATATTTGTGTTCCTGACATTGACCTCCTTAAATACATTGTGGTTATCTCCCAAAGTAATAGAAAAGCAAAAGAATGACTCACCGAAATATTTCTCGATGGCTTTTGACATTCCAATTGTAATTGCCTTTATTAACAAGTTCAAAAAACTCAGTCCTTCTCCTGCAACAAAACACACATGTAAGAAAAAAACAAACTCCTAGACCTGGAGCTATGTTGTGATACAAAGAAAGTTTTTGTGAGAACACAAGATCACAATACCTACTGCCTTAATGTTAGAAAATGTTGAGTTAAGAAGCCATTTAAATGAACCATTTTTATTTTGGAATATGCCTAATGACTGCCAAGCAACAACATCAGAGCCATCTGATAAGAGCTATATACAGTACCTGCAACAAAACTAAGTGGCACCTTAATTCTCAGTTTTTATGAATGGATGAAATGTTTTGCCCTTACCAACACATAGCCAATAAGACCATGTGCCCATAGAATATATATTAAATGGTGATGATACTTTGCCTTTCATGTGAGGATATTAAAGGGCTTCAGAAAGATAGGTAAATATTGTTTCCAGCTGAGGTTTAGAAAGGTTTAATGGCTTGTCCAGGTCACGTATTGAGTTAGTGATATGCACTAATCACTAAAACACTCTGCTTTGTTCCCCGAGACTGAGGGGGGGATATAGTGAAAGAAAGACCATCCAAATTGACATTCCATCTTGATATTACATAGTGGTTGGGTATTAACCCAAGAAGAGATGCTACACAGTCTGTCCATGAAAACATGCCAGTGCAAAATAAACTTGGGTCACTAGGTATGTCTACACTGCAATAAAACACCTGTGGCTGGCCTGTGTCAGCTGACTTGGGCTTGAAACTATAAAATTGCATGGTGTGGGAGTTCAGAGCCACGACTTGAGCCTGAAACTGAATATCTATGCTGCAATGTTATAGCTAGGAGCCCAGGGTGCAGGACAGCCACAGTTGTGTTAATGCAGTGTAGATGAGCTTACTTCCTGCTTGTATTATGATAAACTAGCTTGAGGATAAAGACAGCTCATGTGAGGTGCCAAGTCAAGATTCAACTGCTAGAAACTTCCAAACAGCTGTCCTCCCTAAGCTAATGGCCCTGTAAATACCTTTTCGCTCCCATGTAGACAGCCCAAGTCTAGGGCTACCCCTACCCTCACCTGCATCTTTTAACTTTTCACTGAAGTTGACCAGTATTGCCACCTCTGGTTCAAGAAAGAAGATTACCCATTATGTTTGCATCCTCCCCCAGAAAGGCCCATGAAATACCATCAGTTCAATGTTTTTGGTTTTTGTCTATTGAACTACAATTTTCCTGCTATGGAAATATTTTGTTTATGAATTCTTGTTCTTACATTTTAAAATAATAATAAAAAACCCCCACACTATGTCTTTTAAATCTAAAACATAAGGATCATTTGCCGGGGAAAATGATAGATACGCAGTTTAATGGATCCAACTATGTTAAGGCTGACTTGGAGCCTTCTCACTAACATTCTTGACTTATGACAGTCTGTCTATATTTCAGCTGGGTACACTATAATGAGTTGTTCCAGGCACCATACAAACACATATTGAAAAAAGAGTCCTTGTCCCCAAGAATCTTCTGTCTGTATTTCAGACAGGGGCGCAGGAGAAACAGAAGCACAGATCTTCTTCAAGATCACACAGCAGATTAGAGTCAGAGCTTAGAACTCCCCACAAGTATGTCTACACAGCATTTTGGAGCGAGCTTCAGGCTAGAAGTCTCATACTAGAGATCTAAAAACAGCAGTCTAGAATGTATGTTGAAGTTGCAGCTCAGGCTTTGAAGCCCACTCCCTCTCAACATGCTTCACAGCTCAAGCCCTAGCTCCAGCCACACTTTCACAGTGCTTTCTGTTCAGCTACTTCTAGCCTGAGGCTCACTCCAAAATGCTGTGTAGATGTGTCCTGAGTGCCAGTCCTACAGTGGAGTAGGGATGTTAAAAATCATGTATTTGTGCTCCTGCCTGCCCCCTCCCCTGCTGTCTCTGATAGAGAGGCAGCAGTGTGGGGGCCAGGCGGCTCCCTGGGAGTTGGTATACACAGGGAGCCAATGAATTTCAGCTTCCCATGTGCCCCAGCTCCCACCTGCCCCCTTTCCACTCCCCATGCTTTGGGAAGCAGTGGGGGGGGGGGCAACTGACTACATGGGAGCCGGCTTCCCACATGCACTGGCTCCTGCCTCCCCCTGCTCTCTCCCTTCTCATTGGGGGATGCATGCAACAGTTAGGATTAACCAATAAGCCTTGGCCTTATCAGTTAATCATGTAAACGAGTACATGCTAACAGCCTTACAATGAAGCCTTTTGTATCAACCAAAAGTGTATTAGATTACTACCATAATGGAGCTTAGAGGGTCTTATATGAAGGCCTAGCCCTAGTTAGACTGAACTTTATAAACAGTGACCATTTCACCCATCACAGAAATCCACCCACTTCTGCACTAATTGCACATTCAGATTAATACATCAGTATATTAATTTGAAAGAGCAGTCTGAATATGTGATCACACAATTTCACATTCAATTCAAATTTCGTACACTTGGTGTTGCCCACCCTAGAATACATTATTTGCTGTAAATGAATACAATTTTAAATGGGGCATATAGGGGCTTATCATAAATGTTCCGAGCACTTAGCCTCTATTGTGTTGATAAAGTCATCTGAATTTAAAGGCGATTCAGGTATCAATTGTATAACAGCAACTAGAATTCTAAGGCATAACGGCTGGTTCTTTAATAACATATGAGTGGGATATGAGCTCAGTTTATTTTTTAACAAAGAGATGATTGAGGAGTGAGTTGAGTATAGTCTTAAAGTACCTACAGCAGGAAAAATATATTTAATAGTGGGCTCTTCAATCTAGCATAAAGAGAATACACAATCCTATGGGTAGAAGTTGAAGTAAGACAAATTCAGACTGGAAATAAGGTGTACATTTTTAACAGTGAAGGTAATCAACTACAGTTGCAACAAGGATCGTGGTGATAGAGTCTCCATCACCAACAATTTTTAAATCAACTGGATTTTTTCCCTAAAATTCTAGGAATTATTTTGGGGCAGTTTTATCTCCTGTACTATATAGGAGGTCAGACTAAATGATCAGAATGGTCCTTTCTGGCCACGGAATCTAGAAGAACAGAATTAAATACATAAATAATTAAACTCTTTCTATTGATTGATTACAATGTAATAACAAACACATCTCACTACCATGTGGCAAATTACAGAATTTTTCTACTGACATTACATAATTTCCACCCCACCCCCTTATTTAATGTGGAGGTCGTTAGCACACTAATGAAGCAGTGGATAAAATGACATACATTCTCTGTGTTTTATGAAATATGATACAAGGGGGCTGCATTTTACAAAAGTTGCTAATACAATGCAAAGTCACACAAGCAGAAAACAAAATTAATTTATTTCACATAGATTCATGGCATGATGGCATAGCCGTCCCTGTGGGAATAAACACTGCAATGATGAAAATTTTAATGGCCTGGAGTAGCTGGTGTATAGACCTTAAATCAGTCTAATCATAAGCTGATCACTGGCAGCTAAACATTTGTTGTGAGCACAGCCAGAGCTGGTGGACTTCTACATTTTTCTATTTAATACACATTTCCTTGCCAATGTCTTACTAGAAAAATATCAGTAAAGCAAAATTTGATAATTCTTGAATTTCCGGTTAAAGAATCCTAGCAACTGGAATCCTAGAACTGGAAGGGACATCGAGAGGTCATCAAGTCTAGTGCCCTGCCCTTACGGCAGGACCAAGCACCATCTAGACCATCCCTGAGAGATGTCTATCTAACCTACTCTTAAATATCTCCTGAGATAGAGATTCCACAACCTCCCTAGGCAACTTATTCCAGTTTTTAACTACCTGGACAGTTAGGAAGTTTTTCCTAATGTGCAATGAGTTTTCCACATTTGTGGTTCCTAGGCAATACATAGTATCGAAGCAACAAACTGACAGTTCAGAAGAAAAGGTGGCTTCCCATGCCCACCTTGAACATTGTGAGATCTCAAATAAAAAATGTATGAAGCAGCAAAATAAAATATCGGTGATTCAAGGTATTTTTGGTAAATCACATGCTTCTGAGTAATTGAGCTGTTTTAATTCTAGGAAAAAAATTCCTAGCTCCATTGGAATATAGGCAGAGGAAACATGGAATCCCCACATTTATTCTAGTATCAAAAGGCTAATTCTGTAAAAAGCAACAAATGGTCCAGTAGCACTTATGAGGAAACAATTTAATGCTGCCTTAATGTACTTAAACATGATATCCATGAAGACTACTTTTATGGTTTTTTTTTTTTAAAAAGCTATGCAAGTGACAGTCAAAGTAAAGTGTTCAAAGTAAATGTAATTTTCAGTTATTTTGTAATCCACTCGTGGGGCTGAAGAGAAACATTTATTGATATATCAATGCTGAAAGATACAGCTGACAATATATAAAAAAGCTCTACAGTCCAGTGGCTCAGGACATCATTTCAGTGACTCTCAGAAACTATCATGACAAGTTGGGCCTGTATCTTTTCCTTTTGGTACATATATGACACTACTGTCATGAGTTGTAAGAAAGAGAACTTATAGTTGTATTTTTTCAGTTCTGTTGCCTGTTGTCAGTAACAATTTCCTCTCTTGAGGAATTCATAAAATATGGGATCAGTTCTATAATCTTTTCTGTTTGGATACAACGTGTCCTTGCTGTGTCTTTGCATTGCATTCTTACAGGTATGCTGCCTGTCCAGATCTTATTGCAGCCCTGGATCCTTAAGACTACCTACGTAGGTTATTACATTGCACAGTGGTCTCCTATGAAGGATTGGGGTTTAAATAGGAGCTTGCATTCAAAATCTCATCTACCACTGATAAGGCAAAAAAAAAAAACCTTGAAACTTTTTGATCTAGTTCATGTTGGGCTAGGATACCAGTAGGCTGAAGAGAAACAAGACAACCTTTTTTCCTTTTTTTTTTTCATAAATAAAAACTAAAAGTCATTTTTAGGACTCTAAAATAAATGAAATTCTATTTATTCACAGCCATAACAGACACAGTGTGCTTGAGAAAACGTCTGTATTTGACTGTTATCTGATGAT